ACACATGCATGCTCTCACACGCAATAGAACACACGCGCGCGTACACACACACATACATTCACGCACGTGTGCGTACCCACCCACATGCATGTGCACACTCATGTGCATGAGTGGAGATGCCCGCATACACATGTCACACCAACATGCCCTGGGAGCGGTCATGCACGTGTGTATAGTATGTGTGCGAGGGCACGTCCACATGAGCGCATATGCATGTGCATGTTCATACATGCGTATGGTGCACACATGCACAAACATGCAGGTCTATGCAAACACACAGACGCTCGCGGCCCCGCGCATACAGTGTGCTCAAACATTTCCATAGCCATAGGGTGGCAATGACTCGCAAATATCATGAATAAATCTTATGAACTTAGAAGTTGCGACTTCGGCGGTAATGTCATGAAGTTGGTTGCTCCAACGAGGAGCACACGCTTCTTGCCGAACTTGACACTTGACTGACTCACGACTGCCATCCGGAGCACACCAGGAGCACGTCGCACCTTCCGCTCGGCAAACCTGAAAGAAAGCACCACTCCCTGCTCAATACACAGTGTTTCGGGGAATTCACCCCTCATCAGTTGAGCTTGAGTAGGCTGAGGAAGATTGTGCCTGAAAAGCACCACTTATATACTGCTCTCCAGGCCAAACCATCACCAGGGATACAAACTTACAGAGACGCTCCTCGTTGGAGCAACCAACTTCATGACATTACCGCCGAAGTCGCAACTTCTAAGTTCGTATTGTTGTCCCTCACGCGGACGTGCGACTAGTTGTTGGAGGTGACAGCGTTGTGAATAGCTATACTGGCTCTCAACGTCTGTTTAGCACAACTCCATGAGCGACTCTGACTCACGCTGCTACCTGGGGCTTCACGAGGTGTTTGTCGCGCTGGAAACAAAGCGTCTCTGTAAGTTTGTATCCCTGGTGATGGTTTGGCCTGGAGAGCAGTATATAAGTGGTGCTTTTCAGGCACAATCTTCCTCAGCCTACTCAAGCTCAACTGATGAGGGGTGAATTCCCCGAAACACTGTGTATTGAGCAGGGAGTGGTGCTTTCTTTCAGGTTTGCCGAGCGGAAGGTGCGACGTGCTCCTGGTGTGCTCCGGATGGCAGTCGTGAGTCAGTCAAGTGTCAAGTTCGGCAAGAAACGTGTGCTCCTCGTTGGAGCAACCAACTTCATGACATTACCGCCGAAGTCGCAACTTCTAAGTTCGTATTGTTGTCCCTCACGCGGACGTGCGACTAGTTGTTGGAGGTGACAGCGTTGTGAATAGCTATACTGGCTCTCAACGTCTGTTTAGCACAACTCCATGAGCGACTCTGACTCACGCTGCTACCTGGGGCTTCACGAGGTGTTTGTCGCGCTGGAAACAAAGCGTCTCTGTAAGTTTGTATCCCTGGTGATGGTTTGGCCTGGAGAGCAGTATATAAGTGGTGCTTTTCAGGCACAATCTTCCTCAGCCTACTCAAGCTCAACTGATGAGGGGTGAATTCCCCGAAACACTGTGTATTGAGCAGGGAGTGGTGCTTTCTTTCAGGTTTGCCGAGCGGAAGGTGCGACGTGCTCCTGGTGTGCTCCGGATGGCAGTCGTGAGTCAGTCAAGTGTCAAGTTCGGCAAGAAGCGTGTGCTCCTCGTTGGAGCAACCAACTTCATGACATTACCGCCGAAGTCGCAACTTCTAAGTTCGTATTGTTGTCCCTCACGCGGACGTGCGACTAGTTGTTGGAGGTGACAGCGTTGTGAATAGCTGTACTGGCTCTCAACGTCTGTTTAGCACAACTCCATGAGCGACTCTGACTCACGCTGCTACCTGGGGCTTCACGAGGTGTTTGTCGCGCTGGAAACAAAGCGTCTCTGTAAGTTTGTATCCCTGGTGATGGTTTGGCCTGGAGAGCAGTATATAAGTGGTGCTTTTCAGGCACAATCTTCCTCAGCCTACTCAAGCTCAACTGATGAGGGGTGAATTCCCCGAAACACTGTGTATTGAGCAGGGAGTGGTGCTTTCTTTCAGGTTTGCCGAGCGGAAGGTGCGACGTGCTCCTGGTGTGCTCCGGATGGCAGTCGTGAGTCAGTCAAGTGTCAAGTTCGGCAAGAAGCGTGTGCTCCTCGTTGGAGCAACCAACTTCATGACATTACCGCCGAAGTCGCAACTTCTAAGTTCGTATTGTTGTCCCTCACGCGGACGTGCGACTAGTTGTTGGAGGTGACAGCGTTGTGAATAGCTATACTGGCTCTCAACGTCTGTTTAGCACAACTCCATGAGCGACTCTGACTCACGCTGCTACCTGGGGCTTCACGAGGTGTTTGTCGCGCTGGAAACAAAGCGTCTCTGTAAGTTTGTATCCCTGGTGATGGTTTGGCCTGGAGAGCAGTATATAAGTGGTGCTTTTCAGGCACAATCTTCCTCAGCCTACTCAAGCTCAACTGATGAGGGGTGAATTCCCCGAAACACTGTGTATTGAGCAGGGAGTGGTGCTTTCTTTCAGGTTTGCCGAG